GCAGATTTGTCCGAGAAGTGTCCGTTGGTTCCGAAGCACATCCACCTGGGTGAGCTGGACCGCACCAACTCTGTCCGGCTGCTGCGGCAGCTCTGCCCCAACATGGACGTCCAGCCCGCCGCCAGAACTGGAGACCCTGCCACTCGGTAGATATAACCAACACACACACACACACACACCCATCTCCCTCTCTCTCTCACCTGTGGTCAGCGTTGCGTGTGATTGGCCGTCTGCTGGGCAGCCGTCCTGACATGCCGCCCGAATCGGTGGCGGCATTGCCTGAGAGGGACTCCGACCACGACCTGACCCTGTCGCCACTCTCCGAGGTCAATCCTGACATCGACTACGACCTGCCGGCCGCCCTGGCCAGCTCGAGCGGCGCGGTGCCGCAGCCCGACCCAGCCACCACCGAACACCCATTCCAGCTGAGCAACAGCATCCTCGGCAAACTCGACGTGTCACAAACGGTGAGCAGCAGAACTTGCGGCCATACCGTCAGACAGACACGCGACAATCTGCAGTCGTTCTCGCTGTATGTCTGTGTACCTGTTGATCAGTTGGAGGCGCCCGTCAAGTCCCCTTCTGCCGAGATCACCCCCGAGGCGTGCTTCCCGCCCTCATCTCACCTCCTCTCGCCCTCAGACGAGCCAGACGCCCCGGAGGACCTCCCGCCCCCCGTCAGCGGCCACACACACGCTGGGCAGAAGACCACCATCAAGCTGGGCGAGCACCAGTACCTCTACCTCCCCTTCCCGGCTGCAGCAGACAGCCACGCCAACGCCCACACACCACCACCTGCTGCTGCTGCTGCTGCTCCAAAGGTTGGTGGTGGTGGCGGCCACTGGAGGGACACATCGATGCTGGCGGCTGATGCGCTGGTCGACGCACTGCAGAGCGGCAAGGCTACGGCAACAACCACAACCACACCAGCAGCAGCAGCGGCAGCAGCCGGGGGCCAGCAGCACACGGCCACAGCCACGACCACGGCCAGCAGAGGGCACTGGTGGAAGGGGTTGGGGAGGGTGGTGCGGTGGTTCTTCCCCGCACCCCTCCCCTCCCCATCCAACGATTTGACGACGTCTGAATGGATGCGTGTACATTTGTGTGATCGTTAATGAATATGTATGTGATTTGTGCCATTCATGAGGTCCATGCATGTGATTTGTGCTGTGATGTGATGTGATGTGTGTTGTGTTGTGTGTTGTGTGTTGTGTGTTGTGTGTTTTTGCTTTGTCCGCCTGGCTGGCTGTCTGCGTGTCTGTCTGTCTGTCTGTCTTGACTGTCTGATTGTTTGGTAGAGGGACGAGAATTTTTTGCCAAGCTGCTAAGCAGTGCAGTAACAGTAACAGTGTGTTCGTGTGTGTGTGTGGCAGACCATGGCGTGAAATCCATCCACTGCAAAGGTCAACACACAAGAAATGCAAGCCGTTCCTGTCACAAATAATGCTGGCTGGTGGGGTACTTAGAGCCTCGCTGAGGATCCACTAGATGTCAAATGAAGGACCTCTGCACCCACACAGGCGCATCGCATCTCAGACGTCAGACCTCCATCCGACCAAACCGACGAAAAAGAAAAGTGAGCGGATTTCGCACGCAATCTGGCTTCTTCTGCGGCAGCAGCCATCGTCTCTGGCTCTCTCTGCCTTTACTGGCCTCCTGTCGTCCGCAGAAAGCGAAATTCAAATGCGGCGAGATTTCTGCGAGCTGAGACGGAGACAGATATGATTTACGAGCCTGCACCAGTTTCTTCACTTTCCCGCCGCGTTCGGCTTTGCAGCCTTCTTTCGGCCACATCTCCTCCGTTTCTTTTTCTTTTCGGCTGGTTGTTGGCTTGTGTTGTCCGCCGCATCTCCCTGTACCCCTCCCAACTCGTCCGGATTTCATCCGCCACTTTTTTCCTCCACCGCCGTGCCCCGGGCGAGGCCTCGTTTGCTGGCGCCCTGCCTTCTGCGGAGCGGCTGGCGCCTGCCTGGCGTCAGCCAAGTGCCCAGGCGCCTTCTTTTCGCCCAAACCGACTCCGTCAGGTAAATCCATATGAATGCGGCCTGTGCGTCTGTCTCTTGGGTGTGGTGATGGTGTGGTGTGTGGATGAAGTGTAGGGATGAATGCATGGTGCATTTCGTTGCCATGGGTGTGCTCAGATGCCTCCTCTTGCCGTGTTTGTACGTGCAGATGAACTGGTGGCTCTCTCTTTTTTCCCGTCTCTCTTTCTCGACGCATTTCACTTAAGGTGGGTGAGTCTGGTGTTTACGTGCACGTCGGATTCCCTGCCCGCTGCTTTCCAGAAACGCGATCCCTTGGGCCGACGGAAAAAAGCGAGAAAAAGAGACAGACTGAAAAAACCATGTAATTCATCTTTGTGTCTTGCAGCCGGCCGAGAAATTCAATGACGACAACGTATGGAAGCCACAAAGGCAGTCTGTGTTCAGAAATTCAGCAGGAAAGCGAGCTGTGTCTTCAGATAAAAGCGGAGCTCCTAAGTAAGCCGTCAGCAAAAGCTCTTCATATCGTGACGAACACTCGACATCTACCCTCTTGCCTTCTCTTTCACCTCTTCTATCCATGTGTTGTGTGTTCAGAGGGTCCCTTCATTAGCCGCGACTTCAATCTCTACGCCGTCACAATCCACGACGGCGGCCTGGACGCCACACACACAGACAGACAGACAGACACACCGACCGATCGACAGGGCATTACTGCAGGACGGACATGTGTGTATGTCCCTCTTGCTCTCTCTCTCTCTCTCTGTGTGTGTGTGTGTGTGTTTGTGTGTGTGGTGGGCAGCTGGGTCAAGTTGATGGTTGGTGGCATCGAGTCGTGGGTGCGCTTCGACGACCACTTCACCTCAGAGTTTTTGCCGGACGACAAGCCTGAGGGACAGCTGCAGGGTACGAGGGGAGGGGACGCAGCACAACAAGAGAGACTCGCCCATGTGTGTGTGTGTGCATCTGTTTGTGTCAGGTTCGGGGGCCTACATTCTGTGGTACGTCGCCCGCGACCTGCCCAAGACGTTTCAGGAGAAACGCACCATCCGTGTCGAAGGCACGCATGAGACCCTCCCACACACCTGCACTCACAGAGGCTCACAGGCTCACACGCTGACGGACAAATGGATGGATGACCGCATCTTTGTGCCATTTGTGTGGTGTCTGTCCTGCGTGCAGTGCGTCTGGTGGACTGGCTGGAGGAGCGAGTTGCGGAGGGCAGCCGAAGCCGGACCACCACAACCAGCTCGCCAAGATCTATATCGACACACACAGGTCAGTGATCACACACACACACACACGCACAGAAGGAATGGATGAATGAATGCATCAACCAGTCCCTGTGTTTGTTTGTGTCTGCAGAAACCCCAAGACCTTCCTCAGAACTAACGCTTTCTACGATTCCAAGCTGCTTGGCAAGTACTGCGAGGACCGCAACAAGGCGCAACTCGCCTTCACGGCCTACAGGCGTGCCGGGGGGTCGTGCGACAAGGAGCTGGTCGAGTTGACCAACAAGAACGGCCTCCTTCAGATGCAGGCGAGGTACCTGGTGCAGCGGCAAAGCCAGGACCTTTGGGGCCTCGTTCGCCAAGGCGTCAGGAGCCGCAGTCCTGACGAGGTCGCTGCCACGGTGGAGGCCTTTAACAGGGCCGACCTGCCGCAGGAGCTCATCGAGCCCCTCGAGAAGATGGTAATCCACAGCTCCGGTGAGCGGGGGCTGACAGACCACACACAGAGGGCCTCCTGCCCATGTGTGGTGTGATGTGTCTGCTTATGTGGTTGGTGCAGATTTCTCAGGCATCCGCAAATTGCAGAACTTGCTGATCCTGACGGCCATCAAGGCCGACAAGGGGCGCGTGATGGGCTACATCCACCGCCTCGACAACTGCGACGGCCCGAGCAGCGCCACCTCTACCAGGAGGCCTTGGCCATCTACCAGAAGGTGGGTGACACACACAAGCACACACACACACACACACACACACATGCGCTTCACTGCAATCGATATCGTGTTTGGACGAGAGATAGGGCCAATCACTGTGTGTAGCGCCATTGTTTCTTTTTCCCAGCTGCCGTGGGCTGCGTGCTTCACGGTGCTTGTGCCATTCATAGAGATGGTGTTGCAATCCGCCCCATCAGCGATGGAGAGGCCTTTACAGAGTGAGCACGAGAGAAGGAGGGGAGACATGAGGAGACATTCATCCAAGATGTGACTCGCCGGTGTTCTGTGTGTCTTTGCTCGTCAGACGTCTCAATCGCTGCCTGCTTTTTATATCGGCTGCAAGTGATTATCCATTCAACGCGTTGGCCGTCGGCAACCCTTCAAAGCCCTGGTTAAGTTTGTGGCTGTCTGCTAAAGCGTGTGGAGAGCATTGCAGAGGTCACAAGGACCGCTGGATGGCCTCAATCGGGTACAGAAGAGCCACGAACCATCACAGTGAATATCAATTGAATCGCTTGCTGGCCTGGTTCAGTGGATCGGGTTGCCCCCACGACCGAGCAAGTTGCGACCGAGCCCCCATCACGAGAATTTGTTGGCATTCAAGTTTTGTTGTATGTGACGATGCCGGAACCGACGAACATGAAGAAGACCGCCCCATCCCACAACCAGGCGTCACCGAGACCGTCCTCGCGCCTCGTCCCCTCGGCACCGCCCAGGCTTCAGCTGAGGTTCAATGCCGACACGACGGCCAGCCACGCCGACACAGCTTCCTCACAGAGCCCCCATTTGGCGAACTTGACAAGTTCAAGTTGAACATTCAACTTCGTCGGCCTTCTCTACGATGCCGGAACCGACGAACGTGAAGAAGACCGCCCCATCCCACAACCAGGCGTCAGAATTGCGAGGTGATGTGTGAGGTGTGCATCGTCACCACACTGGAGTGTGGCGTCCACCTTCTCTTTTTAGGAGCAACACACAAGCCCGACGTCGACTGTTCGCCCTTCGTTGCTGCTTGCGTCGGTCGATGACGCCCACAGGGAGGCAAGCAGGGAGGGAGTGCGTCAGCTGCAGAAGGGAGGCGTCTTCTGTACAACCGCTGCCTACATTTTATATGCTGACGATTGGTTAATCGTGTCTTCGTCGCTCCTCTCGATCTCTGCCTACAATTTATATCTGACGGCAGTTCAATGACTAGTTGAAGACGTGCATGAACAGACCTTCCACGATGAGGTGCAAACATTCACACCGATAACCATGGATGCGATGTCTATATACAGTCGCCATATGCAAAAGGGCCCACGCACATCCATCGATCCACCCGTCCGTCCGACTCCTGTCTTCACGTATTCGTCGGCAGCAAACACGTCACTGCAGACCCTCCACAAATGAACCCCTCACTGCAATCGCTCTCCTCACACGAATATGTGGTGTCTCATGTCGCAGTCTCACTGCTGCCCTCCCGCAGCACCCTTGCCCGCCGGAGAAGCCACCTGACACGCACACACATACACAATGGCCATCTTGATCCATTCATCCATCCATGAGGCGCCGAGATAGATACCTGATGGCGCACATCGCCACTGGTTGCAGGCACTGATGGCGATGCGAGTGGGCTCGCCCCCAGCACACCGCTGCGGCATTTCTTGGGGATGGGCATGTGGTTCGGCCGGGACAGCATCGACCGCTTCTTCTGTTGAGCGTGCCGGGGCGCACCCACACCGCCAGAGTGACTGCAGGAACGAGCATGAACAAATGCAACAGAGACACAGCGTATACAGCGTATGCAGCGTATGTGTGTGTGTACCGAAGGATTTGTGCGGGCGGAGGTGAGACGGGCATCGAGTATGTCTGAGGCAGGAGTGGCGTGCTCTGTCCCCTCTGCTTGCGGACGGCCCCCTTCGGTTTGAGCGGGATGGGTTTCGGTTGGCCAATGCGGGGGGGAGGAGACACAGACATGGACGGCGATGCAGCTGCGGGGGAGGGGGAGGGCGATGCAGCCGGAGCACCACCGTCGACGGCAGGCGTATCGACACGCGATGCGTCATCTATACGCAGGAAGACGAAACAGGAAAGCAATTTATGCAGCTGTGCACGAGACAGTCTCATCGGCAAGTAGTCACCTGGCTGGCCTGGAGACGTCTTTCTCTCATCTACCTTGTCGGCCTCACACACCTACACACACACCAGCCAGCAGCCAGCAGCCTTGCAAACGAATACATTGGACGGTCAAGCGTGTCCGTACCTTCTCATACCCATCGGCCTGGCCATCGGTGCCATCGGCCATGCTCCGCACAGGCTGCAGGGAGAGGCCCTTATCGTCGCACAGCACCTGCCGCAGCAATGTGTGCTTGGACGACACGCCAGCCAGAGTGAAATAGGCCAACACGTGACCACAGCTAACGCACAGCAAAGGACCTGACGAACAACACGGGGATGGATGAATCAGTGGATGGATCAGTGGATGGATGGATGGATGAATGATGCATCCATCGAATGCACCGAACCGTAGAGAATGCCGTCCTCTGCTTTCCAGACAGGCGAACCAACCTGACCGATATCACAAGGAGAGAGAGAGCCGAACCAACAATTTCTCATTGCAGATGCCTTCCACTCCCCCTCACCCGCCAGTGCGCCGATGCAGCAGCAGTCGTATCGGTGAACGCCCTCTCCATCTGGTCCACCACCTCCTCCGCCGCCATCACACGCCACTTGCCAGCAGAACCAGACGAGAGCACGGAAACGGGGCCGATGGACTCGCAGAAGAGAGGGCCTCGCAGGAAAATGACACTGCACTCCGCACACGCCGCGGCCGCATACTCAGCCGGCCCTTTCTCGGCGCCGTCAAACTCTGCTGTTGCCTCTTTGCTGCCGGTGTCCTTTGCAATGTCTGCATCAGCCTCACGGGCAGCGGTGTTACTGGTCTGCATTGGGTGCTGGCGTGGCGGCAGCCTGCTGTAGGCGCCCCATGGGGCGTGAGGATGGTAAAAACAAGACATGACTTCTGAGTCAAGTATTTACATGCCGTGCCCTCTTTGTCTACTGTGTTTGTGTCGTTTTTCGTCTGTCATGCCTCCGCTCATGACAAGTGCATCAGCGAGAGATGAGGAAACTCTCGCGAGCACACATCACAGAGGGAAGCTACAGGCGGAAGACGACACTCCACACTCCACACCATGCACCACATAGCGAGACAAAATCACCCAACCGGCAGCCAGAGAGACAGCCAGACAGAATCCGACCAACAAAACAAAGACAGCCAGTCGGTCATTGTTCGCCTTTCTGCACATCACATTGCTTTCTGCCTGCCTGCCTGCCTGCCCTTTCTTTTCTGCCCCACTCATCGGCGCCGACACACTGCCGGCAGCTGAAGACATGACAATGAATGCAGCGACCCAAGGCAGCAATGGCGCGTGGGCAGACAAACCAGGTAGGCACTGGCTATCACCTGGAGAAAGCCTTAAATGCACACAACCCAGCACACATTCGCGGAAAGACGCGCACACAGACACACACACACAGACACATACACACATGGAGAGAGAGAGAGAGAGAGGGAGATGCGCATCATGGAAGGCACATGTACGTCACAATGCGATGGATGGCTTATTTACACGGTGCAGTGAGTGAGTGAGTGAGTGAGTGAGTGGGGCAACGAGAATGGCAACACGCAATGCGATGTAATGGACTACGGCAGCGAGTCATATAAATACACTCTGACCCATACGACGATACACACACTCATACACAGGAAGATAAAGCAAGCAATTGACAAATAGCGGCCTCCCCTCCTCTCCCTCTTGCTGAGCCCCTGGTCGGTCTGTATGCAGGAAAAAGGAGTAGCGATCGCCGGCCGGCCTAGAGACGCAACACACATACACAGAGAGAGAGAAAGACGGATGCATAACGTGACGCCCCACACACAGGTGTCTGTCTCCCCTCTGCTGACCTTCTCTGTGTCAGTTAGTTGATGCGTGTAGCTGCCTCGGCTGCCTCCGCCGCCTCGGCCTTCCTCGCCTCCTCCATCACATCCATGTCGACCGCCTCCTCATATTGGACACCACCACCAGCAGCAGCACCACTGTCATGACGAGATTCCGTGGGGGATGACTGCTGTCGGCGTTTCTTGGACGGCGGTGGCTGTGGGACGTCGTCATGCACCCCGAGAGCCTGCTCCAGCTTGCTCCACAGCTCTCTGAAGTCCCAGCCAGTGGAGCGTGTGGCCACACGTCCACTGGCGCCGCCTCGCGTGACAGTCTCGGTCACCGAAAAGGGCTTTCCATCGTCCGGCTCCACGGGGACGGTGACCCTGACCGTCACATCGTCCACCACGTCATAGTGAATGCTGTCCATGTCGAGGTGGATGTCTGTCTTGGAATGGGCAGCATGGGACTCCAGGGCGGCCTTGGCGCTGATCAGGAGACCCTCCTCCGTTTCGGGGGTCTCGCGCTGACGCTGGGCCGTCTGCTTCTTCCGCGCCTGGTCGCGGGGACGCTTGCCGGGTGCGATGGGAGAGAGGCCGTGTTGCATGTTGCGGTCCTCACAGCCCGGCCCGGCGAGGCCGCAGCTGTTGAGGGCGGCGGCCGTGGCGTCGTTGTCGGGCTGATCGCCCTCCATGCCGTCAATGTCTGCGTCGGCCATCTCCACCGGCGAGGCGACGGGAGGCGATGGGGGAGGGGCGATGGATGGGGCAGCGTCGCCGCTCATAAGCTGCTTGTCGTGGTGCTGGTCTGTGTGCGGAAGTGGGGATGGCGGAGAGAGTGCCTTGGATGCCACCTCACCACCTGCAGTGTACATCACACCAGCGAATGAGTCGATTGGCTCCCCCTATGTGTATTTGTTTGATCTCCCCCTACTCACCATCGTGCAGAGCCTCCGGTGCCATGTCATTCACAGCGGCGTGACCCTCCCCTTCATCCCCGTCACACGCTGCAATGGTGGTCTCCTCAGCCTCGGCTTGTCCGCCATGTTGACCCACGCCCACAACACCCACTTCCTCCGTCACCCCACATCGCTCGTCACCTCCTCCCACAACCACAGCACCGTCAGCACCATCGGCAGGTGTATCGTCGTCTGCCTCGGCGTCCTTGTCAATATGCGTGTCGGTCTCCCCAGCAGCTGGTGCGGGAGGCTCAGCAATGGAGGGGGCAGTGGGGCCATCGGCTGGAGACACGCCAGTCTCGGGCAGCCCCCTCTCCCCGTCACCCACCACAGTCTCGCCCTCCTCGGCCACAACTCGCTCGCCACCGTGACCGACACCCACACGACCACCGACACGCTCCACAGCTGTGTTGCAGTCGCGCTCCTCGGTGTGGTCGGTGCCCTTGTCGCCGTCGATGTGCATGGCATCGACGTCCGCCTGGGCAATGTCAGCAGTGGAGGGTGCGGTGGGGCCCTCGGCTGCAGAATCACGCCCGTCAGCCGTGTCGTGTTGTTGCGGGTGCGGGTGGTCCTTGGCACTGCTGGCCGGTGCAGAGGGGTGTTGCTGCTGTGTGTGTGGGTCAGGGAGAGGGGGGAGGCTGTTGTCGGTCTCCTCCAGCTGCCGACCGTCGGCGCGCCCAGCCGTGTCCATGTGATCTGAAACAATGCCACGGTGAGGGCCACACTCAGGGAGTACATGCGTCTGTGTGCCGACCTTGTTGTCGTTCGCCAATGATAAGCGACTGCTCCGCAGCGCTCACGCGCACGGCCGTCCAGCCACGGAACACACGGCGCACAACAGGACCTGGCACAAACCAACACACACGGGGTGTCCAGCGAGAGCGAGGGGTGTCTGGATGTGTGTGTTGTGTGGTCCTACATACCGGCCAATGGCTTGACGAGCTGTGACGGCGACTTGCCGGTGGGCAGTGGGCGATCTGTCAGTCAAGGCAAGCACCAGCCAACATAACATAGCCACGAACGAATGACACAGCTGCCTGCCGCACCTGTCCGATCGGTCGTATTGACGAGCATCTCTCCCGGGCCTCCACGGGTGGGCGGGCGCCACTCCAGGCTGAATGGCACCCCTGCCGCACCCAGCACCATCTTACCCACCCCACTGCTGAAGGCCTTCACCATCTCACTCTGCCACGATCCGGGCTCAGCTTCTTCACATCCACCAGGTCCATGCTCGTTGACAAGGAGAGGGTCTGCATCTCGGGCTGCTTGCCGCGCCACTCGCACACGAACACGCTGCCCTCGGTGCGCCAGGTGAGGCCACTGAGTGCTCTGCTGGCGTCGGTGCCCTTCTCATCTTGCAGCTGCCGCAGTCGGCTGATGATCCAGTCGCCGAAGGCCACACGAATAGCGATGTTGTCACTCATTCTGCCCAGTGCGTCTCGGTGTGCGTCAGAAACAACACAAAAAAATAACAAAAAGGGGCGGCTTGGAGGCAACAGGAAAAGCCTCTGGAGGGCTGCGTTTGCTGAGAGAACAAAGATCTCCTGATTTCTGCGAGCCAAGCTTGCAGGAGAAAGCCACTTCAGGTCGCACCTCGCTGCGGCTTTCCTCTGGCGCTTTCACGATGGGAGAATGGTAAAGCGTGACCAACGGAAAGGTGATCTGCAAGAAACTGCTCATTTGACGCACTTGCCCGTCAAAGATGAGTTGCCATGCGCTGCGTTTCTGCCCTGTTTGGTGCTCAGGCATGTGTGTAGCGCCTTATTCAGCTCAGCTGGTCTGCGCTGCCGTGATCGGCAGCTTCCTGTTCGGGTACAGCATCGCCAATCTCAACACGACCATCGAATATGTGTGTGAGGGAAGGGAAACCATGGAAGCGCAGTCAGGCAGCATCTCATCGACGCGTTTGTTTGTGTTTGTATTGTTTGTGTTGCGATGTGTTTAGGTATCGCTGTCTCTCCGGTGGTGTGGCGACGACGTCACAATCAGTGAGCAGAAGGCAGCAACACATGGGTGTCCCGACCATGATCTGAGTGCTCCCTTGTGCGCCGTTGTGCAGATTGCGACGCCTCTCGCTTCAACCAGGCCTCTATCAACACAATGGTCTTCGCGGGAGCAGGTGGGCGGCTGAACACAACAACAAAATCACACCGTCAATGCTTGTCAACTGCTTCCCAGCCCTGGGTTGTTTCATCGGCGGCCAGCTGGTGTCCTTCGGGCGGCGGCGGACATTGCTTTACAACAACCTTGCCTTCATCGCCGGCGCCCTGCTGTCCGCCCTGGCGGTGGATTTCTGGTCCCTGCTGATCGGGAGAATCATTACGGGCCTGTCCGTCGGTGTGGTGACCGTCGCGGTGCCGTTGTACATAGCCGAGGTCACTGAGAAGGAGTCCAGGGGCTTCTATGGGTAAGTGTGGGCGCGGGATGAAGGCCATGTATGTTGAGTGCTGCATGCATTGACACATGGTTGGCTGTGTCAGGTCGATGCACCAGCTGATGATAACGATCGGCATTCTGTTTGCCATTGCGCTGGGCCTCCCGCAGGCCTCACTCACGGTGTCGCCCCCGCCCCTGGCGCCCTTCGAGAACACCTGGTGGCGCGTCGTCCTGGGGCTGGGCGGCGTGCCGGCCGCAATCAGCTTCATCGCCTTCTCTCTCGTGTACCCATTCGAAACGCCCCACTTCCTCGTCACGCGGAAAAGAGAGGGTACGCAATGTGGCTTGACGTGACCTGCATGTGCATCTCTGCCTATGTGTGCGTGGCTGTGGTTCAGGCGAGGCCCGTCACGTGTTGGAGCGTCTGGTGCTGTCGTCTGTGAGCAAGCGGGGTGGCGCGGCTGACGACTCCCCGAGCAGAGCGGAGTCGCGCCGCGTCACCTCTCTCAGCACCGCCGGCCGCACCAGCAGCCCCGCCCCCCACCCCCCGCAGCAGACTCCAGTGGACGCCCAACACACAACCACCGAGGGCAGCCGGCTGCTCGCGGCCGACTCTGCTGCCGCCGAGCAGGTGGAGCGGCGACTCAGCGAGATTGTTCGGGCGGTGGATGAGGCGAACCAGGCGTCATCGAAGCAGATGTCGCTGCTCTCGGCCATGGCCATGTCGCCCCAGCACCGGCACGCCATCATTGTGGGCACGGTGCTCTCGGCGTTGCAGCAGTGGAGCGGCATTAACACCTTCATCGCCGCGTCGAATGACGTCTTCATCAAGGCTGGCGTCCCACAGGGCAGCGCGACACTCTGCTCGACAGCCATGGCCACTCTCAACGTCGTGGTCACCATCGGGGCCGCATCGGCAATCGACAGTGCGCTCGGTCGCAGGGGCCTGTTGCTGATCGGCACGGCTGGGCAGGGCCTGTCGTTGCTGCCCACGAGCATAGCCTACATGGTGGGCGGGCCGGAGAGCAAGGCGGTGGTGTATCTGTCGGTGATGAGCGTGCTGGGCTTCGTGTTTTTCTTCGCGGTTGCGTACGGGCCGGTCTTGTGGGTCTATCTGAATGAGATCTACCCTGTGGAGATCCGCGGGACGGCAGTGGCTTTGGCGAGCGCCATGAACTGGACATCCACCCTGATTGTGGTCTTTCTCCAGAAGTACATGCCCAACAGTATCGCATACTCGCTTTTCGCCGGTAGGTATTGCACACACAGACAGGGAGGCTCACTGGGGGTCGGGTGACGTGTCCTTTCTCCCTCCCTCTCTCCCTCCCTCCCTCCCTCCCTCCCTCTGTGTGTGTGGTTGTGTGCAGGTTTGTGTCTGTTTGCGTGTGTGTTCACTTACATGTATGTGCTGGAGACCAAGGGCAAGAGCATCGACCAGTCGCCCTTCTTTGCCACCACCCAGCAGCAGCAGCAGCAGCAGCCGCCAGACGAAGAAGCACCCACACGGACAGCACAGCAGCAGCTGCAGCAGCAAGAGGGCGGCTAGTTTGCTTGATGGCCAGATTAGAGACAACGAGGAGGGAGGGCGAATGTACAGATGGGAATTCGCCGCCATGCTCTCTATCCTTTTATCTGTGCTCTCTTGTGGAGAACGTGCCATCCGCGATCTGCTGTTCTGCACTGCTATGTCTCTGAGGAACGACTCCTTGGACGCACGACAACGTGACGTCTCGAGGATCCGTGCCTCGGAGGCCTCCAAGTGCAGAGAGCAGACAGAGCAGACAGACAGAGGCCGACACAGTTTTCGCCCCCCATATATGCAGAGGGAGGGCTGATGGGTACACACCATGATGGATGGACGCAATGCATTCTTTGCCTTGGGGTGCGGCCAATGCAAGAGTGGGTCGGTGAGGGGGGGGGGTTCGCTGCATGCCTTTATTTGTGTGGGTGGCTGCAGTGTGTGTAAGGATTGTGCATGTGAGACACACACGGATGAGAAACGCGGGGACACGTGATTTGGCGACTAAACAAAGCCTGTCTCGCCCCACCAGCGCAACACGAGTCAGTTGTGTCAACACACGCACAGCTCATTGCACTTACCCTCTCTCATCCCACTGGGTGGCGGAATCTACCACAGCATCGCGCGATACAGGGACGTCAGTGGCGGACACTCGGCCAGCGACGTCCCTGGACCCCGCGATGGCATGGACGAACCGACCAGCCACAGTCAAGGAGAGATTGACACGACAGCACGGTACGAAATGCATCTGTCTGATCTGTACATGCCACAGCCGCCCCTCTTTGTCAGTCTGCACATCAACTTGGTCATTCCTGATGATCATGTCAGATGGGATGTGCCTGCGGGGGGGCGCCGTCCGCAGAGGGCGCTGTGGGACAGACAGACACGTGAACGAACGCATTAGGGTCAGTCAGTCGCTCGCAACGCGCACCTCTCTGTTTGGCGGTCTGTGTCTGTATGAAGGCGTGCACTTCCATGGCGGACTTGGTGCCGATCATGCTCGACAGCGCCGCATAGTCTGATCAGATCAACACACGCACCATTGTCAATAGATTCCTGTGTGAATGGCAGGCTCGTGTGTGTCGGTTTATGTGCTCACTGTTCGGCTGGACGCCCCTGCCTATGGCATTGTTCAGGCTGGCCACCTCCTGCGGCGACAGTGGACATCCTCTCCTTCTGTCAATGCCTCCTCCCTCCCTGTCTGTCTCACCTGTGGTGTCCACGCTCCCCTCTGTGGTGCCGGCTGTGGCTGCGCCATCGAAGCAGCTGCAGAGGCCGATGGCGGCATCATGGCCACCTAAGCACATGGACACGAACACACTCATCTTTCATCAGCTCGCTGTGTGGGTGTGGGTGTGTCATCAGAACGTACCTGCTGGTGGTGGTGGTGGTGGTGGCTGGCCATATCAGGCACTGAACTCGGGGCCTGCGACTGACCTGCCCACGAAAGCAGCATCGTGTCGGTGTGGCCCTTTGCAACTTGTGCGGTTCCAGAAGTGTTATGTTAATGCATACCCGCGCTGCTGGTGGCAGGGGTGACCGGTGGGGGGTGCTCACGGGGTGGAAGGGGGGGAGCCTACACACACACAGCCATACACGGACAAACAGGTGTCAAGGCGGCCTCACCCTCACCTGATCGGCAACCAGCGCCAGGTAGAAGAGATTGTGGTTCAGCCGCTCCAGGTAGCTGCATGCAACACACACACACGCACACACAGAGCAACACATGCAGCCACCCACCCACCGACATCCATCTCACTCACCCGAGTGTTTCCTGCCTGCCGCCTCCCCTCTGCCGGGCGTGCTGTATAGCCTCCAGCAGCCGCACGTTCTCCTCCATTTTCTTCTGGATCTCCACCTTCACGGCCGCCAGGGCATCTCCCACTGCCTGCGGGGACTTCTGCTTCTCCTCCTTCATCACGAAGACCGGGGATACGCCTCAATCAACCGACGGAAAAGTGGGAAAGGCGAGAGAAGGGGGCTGTGAGAGGGAAGGGAAGCGGCTAAGCTCGCAAAGATCTGCGAGCTCATTTGCAGATCTCCCCTCTTTTGTGTTGCTCTTTTGAGGGCTTCCCGCATCACATTCGCCCTCAACTTGCCCGGCATCGCGATTCACCCATCGCCTCTTCTCGCCCCGTCCTTCTCACCGGAATCCACCCGGTTGGTCCCGAGTGCTGTTGATTCATCCCGCTGCGCCGGCGCCGTGATGCAGCACACGCACCATCAGCAGCATCCCATTTTGTATTACTTCGTCGGCCCTCGGACCTTCTACGTGCTGAGCCTCGCAGACATATTGCGGCTGAGAACGACTTGTACATGGCTGAGAGACCTCTTTCAAGCGCCTGAGCTGCGACAGCGGCTCAGCCATTCCCTCAGCACACAGGCGGGGCTGCGACGGACGGCCACCGGACAGCAGCTGCTGTCATTCGACGATCGGCAGATGGATGTGGCGGAGCTGCTGACGGCCGTGTGTGTAGTTGAGTTGGGTGGCTGGGGCGAGATGGCTGAGGCGATTGACCTGGCGATGCAGTTGGGCTACTGCCAGCTGCCCATCATCCTCACTGCTGCTGATCTACACCAACACAAAAACAAGATGGTCAGCAGGCAGGCAGGCAGGCAGGGGATGGTCAGGATGGCTCACTGATATTGGCTGTGTTTATTGTATGTGCAGGTGTACATGGCCACTCCTCATGTGTTGGCTCAGCTCAAGATGGTCGGCCGCCACATCCACTGGGGTAACGGCTTGACGATGCGGATTTTCCAGCGTGGCGGGAGGCTGCGCGCCATCAAGGACTATAACAGACTCGAGCTCACGTTGAACCCATCCCTCCCTGCCGGCCACTCATACCAGCAGTACAGACAGCCGCACGACCCACCCGTTCGTAGCAGAATTACCCATTCCGGGGGGGCGGTGCCGTCTCATTCTGCATTCACCGATTCCTCTATGTCGTCGCTCGTCAAGAGAGTCCTTCTCAGCCACTTCGGGCGCACTCATTCGAACGCTGCGTGGAATCAAGCTGGCGTCTTCATAGTCGATAGGTGAACAGGCAGTCCGTCCCCACGTGTGTCTCTTAGTCGATGTGTGTGTGTGCGCACGTCATTTCTCAGGCATGCTGGGAACAATCGGCTGCACATCCTGCTGATGGAGTCGCCCCACGTACCAGTGGAGGGATGCAGCACCACGACCGCATTCTGCTGCGGAGCCGGCAGCGACCGTCGTCATCGTCTCGTGCTGACCGACGCCAGCCACTCATTCGTCGCGTGGATGGACATCTCGGACCGGACTACTGGATGTCCGGGATGAGTAAGCTCAGCGCAGAATCGGCATCCTCATAACCACAGCATGGGTACTTGTTGCCATGTTTTCTGGTCTGCAGTGCGTGTTGGGTTCTTCACGACCGAGGCGGCTGAGTGGGGCGTGGGTGCTGCCTTCAAGAACCGCTTCCCGCAGACCACTCGGCTGGCCCGTGCTGTGCTGGGACCCGACGTCGCAGCCAGGATGTTCGGCCGATAGCGACGGTACGAACACGTCCAGCGACAAAATGCCAGATGTGCGACGTGGTGTCTCCGCCTTGCCTCTGTCTGTGCAGTGGGTGTTGAGCTGGCAATGACATGCGAGTCGGACGCTGGTGATGATGACATTGCAAGGAGGGTGACATCGTCTACTTACTTGGTGTAGTCGTGTGTTCATGAGGCGGGGAGCAATGGATGCATCTGGTCATGGTTGACGCCACACAGCTAAGCCTTCGCCGAGTGATTGTGTAATCGTGTCTGAGACGAGCATTGCATAGCATAGCATAGTAAGGCTGTACAGTAGGGTGGGGGAAAGGGTCTCATGCACAGACGAACACACACACGACAGAAGGGCCGTCCATCAAGCTATGAATGCGTGAACGGACCTCAGACGCATCTCGTATGCACATCGCGATCGAGTCGAATTGCATCATCTGTCTACGAACCGCACCGCGCATCATCTGTCAGTCTATCTGTCTCTCAATCAATATTGCCGGCCAAAGATGAAGATTGGCGGCGATGGAGCAACATCTGACGGCATAGCAGACACACCACACAGACAGACAGCTCGCGCACCGCACACGAAGCCAGCCAGGGTGCCGTACATGCATCCGCGCCCGTACCGCGTTGGCTGTCGGCAGCTGGGGTCGACGTAGTGGTGGTCGACGTGGTGGCTTGGCTGAAATCAAAGGGAATACAGCACAAGGGGAAATGCACCGATGTCATCGAACGGCGGCAGCCTAGTGCAAATAAGAAGCTGACCAGTCTGCGTGAGTTGAGGTCGGAGAGGATGCCTTGTCAGTCGACGACACGCCACTCCTGCAGACAAACAAATCGCACAGCCGTCGGGGGGGGGGGGGGGGG